CATAAAAGGTTTTTGAAAGTGATAAAATCTTTTCAAAATTATTATTTGCAAATGTGTTTTTATGTCACTTTGACACAGTATATCTTTTTTTACAATTTAATAATCTTTGCACTATTGCGTTCAACAGATCTTAGCAAATGCTTATTGTCTGTAATTGTCCCTTTTTTATAAATCTGTATGATGTATGAAAGTATATGCCAATGAGAAGCAACAATAGCAAAGCGCTTGCTAAGCGCAGAGTTTTGCTGAACGCAGCCAATCATATTTCGTTATATGTTGTTACTTCCACAAAAATAGCTGATTGGTCATTGTTCTTTATCGCGACGCTATGGTTTTTTTGCGCAACAGTGTTATTTCCCGCCGAGCAGTCTTTTATCAAGATGGAAGATAACGCAAAACCAGTAAGTATGTAATTATATATACGAATTTTGCTTATGATCAGTTTAACTTTTATATATATTCATAAATGTACCTTTGGAATAAGTTTAACGTAGCACTAGGCTTCTTTTAAGAATTACTCGTACAATCTATAACCTAAATAGGCAACAAACAGGTTAAGTTGAAAGGTTAGCCTGAAAAATTAGTTTGCAGCTGTAAGTCTGTGATAATTACCCACACAGACATCCATCCATTCAGACATCCATTAGACATCTATTAGATGTCGCATGGAGCTGTCGACGTCTAATAGACGTCTAATGGAGTTTTTGTTCTGTACACATNAGATGTTTCAGATTTTTTAAAGTATAAAGTTTTTGATTAAAATATCTTATACTTTATCTTCTTTTTATTTATGTAGGTTCGTAAAAGAAAAATTAGTTGTAGGGCTGANACAAAGGCAGTAACACGATTGCATGTCGCAAGCTTGCAGCAACGTATTGAGAACATTTTCAATCACTCGTCTCTCTCAAACAGCAGTACTAATGACATCGAAAGTGATCACGATGAAGAATTTGGTTGTGATAGAGATAATAGTGAAGAATGCATTGAGACGCAGGAGAACAATGATACAAGTGAGGATGGCAGTCATAGGGCTAACAGTGATTCAGAATATGAATCAAATTCCTCAGAATGTAGTGATGCTTGCGAAGCAGTTGAGGATCTGAGAGCTTTACATGATAATAATGAAGAAAGGAATGCGTATATTCTACGTGAATTGAAGAAGTGGGCTATACAAGGGGTTTCTTGCAAAAAAATTGATGCACTTCTCAGAATGCTGCAGATAGTGTTTCCTATTCTACCAAAGACTTATCGAACTTTATTAAAAACTCCTAGGACTACAAATCTTGTAGATATGGGAAATGGTAAATTCTGGTACAAAGGTATTCAACATAGTGTTGTGCCACGACTGTCAGAAAAGTATCTTTCTGACAGAGAGAATATACAGTTTGACATCAACATTGATGNTCTGGAATTATATCCTAGTTCCCGTCAAACATTTTGGCCAATATTAGGTTGTCTTGCGTATGAGAAAGAGCCATTTATAATAGTAGTTTACCATGGGGAAGGTAAACCTCCACTAGAACCCTTTCTACGGCAATTTGTGGATGAACTTTCTATTTTAATGATAAATNGAATTATATTTAATGACACTTTGTATCGTGTTAAAGTACGGAATTTTATTTTAGATGCTCCCGCAAGAGCATTTATAAAGTGCATTAAAGGACATACACCAAGAAAAGCTTGTGACAAATGTCATGTTATTGGCATGCGCTATAAAAACAGAAGTTTTTTTGGATCAAAATGCAATTCTTCGCAATGATGAAGAGTTTAGGTTAAAGATAGATGCTGCTCATCATATTTCCGGGATCGTGTCTCCGTTAGAAGAAATTAGGATCGGCATGGTGTCTCAGTTCAGGTTGGATGAAATGCATCTTTTATATATTGGAGTTTTTCAGCGATTGATGGAGTTTATCTTAGGAAAACAAGGATTAAATCGAGGAAAAATTTCAGTGCGCGACAAATTTGCAGTGTCCGCTACAATCGACGAAATTAAATCTTATATTCCGGCTGAATTCTGCAGAAGACCTCGCAATTTATCTTATTTCGGAAGATACAAAGCATCAGAATTTAGGAGGCTTTTCCTGTATGACGGATTGAAGATGTTCAGTTTGCTAGATCNAAATTTATATACAAACTACTTATTTTTGCAATGCGGAGTATATATTCTTTCAAGTCCTCTTTTAGTTGAAAGGAACGATATGATTCAACTAGCAGATTTTCTTCTTCGTTCATTTGTTCGTCATGCTGCAGATATCTTTGGAAATGAATTTGTCACTTATAACGTTCATGTACTTTGCCATTTAGCTACGGAATGTCGCACTCATATGGCTCTTAATAACTTCAGTGCATTTAAGTATGAAAATTATTTGGGTGTCATCAAGCGTTGTCTAAGAGCAACAAATATACCTCTTCAACAACTTTATAACAGAGACTTTGAAAGAGGAGGTCGACTCATGCAGAAAAATATACTTGACGAAGAACGCATTGAACTAAGTCAAAAACATTACGCGGAAGACGATGAAGTAGAGATTTATTTCAAGTTAACTATGCCCGGAATGATACTTTCTACGTCAAAAGCTGATTGTTGTTTTCAGTCAAAAAGTGGTGAAGTGGTCATTATCTCAAAAATTACTTGTACTTCCTTTCGTAGCACACGCATTTCTTTGCACGGACATAGATTTCAGAACATTTGTGACTTTTTTTCATTTCTTATTCATTCTACAGACATGGGCATCTGTAAGGTATCGCAACTTGAGGAAACCGAAAAAGTCTGGTCTCTTGATCAGATTCTCCAGAAATGTATTCTCATTCCTGCTGATAATAGTTCTCTGTGTATTCCGCTCGTTCATGCTGAGCAAAAGTAAAATAAGGGTGAGATAAACTGCAGTGATCTTTCAGCTATAGGAATTCTCTATTTTTTCTTTTATTTAATGAAAATGTCAATTTTATTCATTAGTCTATTTATATTACATATAATTGTTGACATTGTAACTTTACATTTAATTTTTTACAAGTTAAATGCTAAAAGATGTAAAACATAATCTGGATCTTGATGTACAAAAAGCTTGATACGGTACACATGATATGTAAAAATCTTTAACTGGAAACTCATTATTAACGTCTAGTTTATGACAATAAAGTATTTATTTGTTTTATTTATTTCTTCTGTTTCATGACAGTTTTCAGTCGTTGTTTGGCCAGATGGTGGCATATGCGTGGTGGCAACTAAATGGATGAATAAATCTAAAGAAAGTGTCATGTATCCTACAAAAACCAAATGTCCTACGAGATTGGTAATGTCTCTTGTGGAAGCGCAAAAAGACTGGGAAGAATTTAATATTGAGTTTT